CCGGTGGGCAGCATGGGGCCCTGGCCATCCAGGGGGAGCACCTGTGGGCATCATGGGGTCCTGGCTGTCCAGGGGGCAGCGCCTGTAGGCATCATGGGGTCCTGGCTGTCCAGGGGGGAGCGCCTGTGGGCATTGTGGGGTCCTGGCTGTCCAGGGGGAGCACCTGCGGGCATTGTGGGGTCCTGGCTGTCCATGGGGAGCACCTGCGGGCATTGTGGGGTCCTGGCTGTCCAGGCCTGAGCACCTGTGGACTCATAGGCTTGATTTGGAGTCTTTCCTGTTCTTCCTCCCCCCCCCCCCAGCCCCCCAGCCACAGCTCTAACCTGGTCCTGCTTGGCAGCAACCCCCTCAGTAGTTCCATGTCCCAGTCCAGTTACATAATAAAGGGCAGGAGAGCTTCCTCCTTTGACTGGGGTGGGGGGTCACAACATGGAGACAATGAGGGCACATCCGGAGTCTGGGGTGGGGAGCTGGGCTTTCTCTGCACTTCCTCTGGGTCCTCTCCAACGCGGCAGCAGCGCTTGGCTTCCTCTTGCTTCTATTCCGTCTTTTACCCACAGCCCTGAGTGGGGTCTGCACCATGGGGTCTGTGTTGGAGGGGGTGGGCCCACCAGCTCCACATTCCAGAAGACTGGCAGGCTGCCAGGAAGCTGCGGTTCATGGGGGAGTTGGGCGGGGGGGGGGTGTCCCAACATGGTGGCACTCAGCAGGGATCGTGTGACGTCCTGGGCCTGGGCGCACAGAGCCAGTGTCCAAGGGGGAGAGAGAAGCGGCCTCACAGGGGATCCCCAGGGCCCTGAGTTGACCGAAAGGAGAGCGTGAGGCAGAACTACAATGGTGCGGCCTCTCCCCACCCGCCCGGCCCCAGCGAGTGCGTGCGGTCTGAGGCTGCAGGCCGCCTGGCTGGCTCTATAGGCCCCGATCAGATAAGGCCGATTGTCAGATCCCCACTACTAGGCAACGTGCCAGGCACATAGTAGGTCTAGTTGTATACAAAGATTAGTGAGTGGACTCCACGGAGGCTTGCACCCGTCTGGTTGCAGCGCCCGGTGGCTCTGAGGGCGCGCGGGCCCGGGAAGCCCCAAGAGGCGGAGGCGGAGGCGGAGCAGGTCTTCGGGTCCCAAAGGCGAGAATCGGGAGGAGGAGCCGCCTGCAAGGATAGGCCCAGGAGCAATGGCGTCCAAAGAGGAACAAGTGGTTAAAAATCTCAACATGGAAAATGCCAACCAGGAAAACAGAATAAAGGATGAAAAGGAGCAAGATGCTAATAAAGGAGAGCCTGGTGAATATTGTGTGCCACGAGGAAATCGTAGACGGTTCCGTGTTAGGCAGCCCATCCTGCAGTACAGATGGGACGGGGGTCAGAGGCTTGGGGAGCCACTGGCAAGGATGAGACAGGAGAATAGGGAGAGAGTTGGGGAGGAGATGAGGCAGCTGATGGAAAAGCTGAGGGGAAAGCAGTTAAGTCATAGAAAAAAAAAAAAAAAGATTAGTGAGTGGGAAGGAGGAAGGCAGGAAGAAAGGGAGGGAGGGAGGAGGGAGAGAGAATTAGAGGATTTGTAGATACACCAAAGTTTATTAAGAAGCAACAGACCCACCAGAGTGCTGAAGCTATTTGAACCCATGTGAAACGGATAACTATTTAAAAATGAAATCCCAAGGCTGCATAACCGGAAGGAAAATCAAAGGGCAGGATGGCTGCCTCCGGTGTGTGAGGGAGAGTGAGCGGCACAGGTGTAGGGGTCTGCAGGCTCCGTGGCAGAAGCAGCGCTCACGGAGGGAGCCACGGGGAGCCCCAGAGGGAGCCATGCAAGGCCGACTGCGAGCAAGGGAGGTCTGGCTGCAGGGCAGAGCCCTGGACTCTGGATGGGTCCCTGACAGGAGGTGAGCTCCCCAGCCTGGGAGACACTCAGATGAAGGCTGGAGAACCTTTGTCAAAGATGTGGTCGCCAGCCAGCGTGGCTCAGGGGTTGAGCATCGACCTATGAACCAGGAGGTCACGGTTCAATTCCAGGTCAGGGCACATGCCCTGGTTGTGAGCTCAATCCCCAGGGGCGGGGCACGCAGGAGGCAGCCGATCAATGATTCTCTCTCATCATTGATGTTTCTATGTCTCTCTCCCTCTCCCTTCCTCTCTGAAATCAATAAAAATATATTTAAACAAACAAACAAAAAAAGATGTGTTCAGACACTGCAGTGTTCAGCCTGCACCTGTACAGCCTCCTGCAGAAAGTGTCCTTTGAGGAGATCCCCACCTCCAGAAGCCGAGATCATGAGCTTGAGCGTGGAGGGTGGGACACCACGAAATGTCCCTGTGAGGAGGGTGAGCCAGTTCAGCGCTCTTGTCATCGGCTGTGGGGGTCACGCAGCCCGCGGTGGGGGTGCCGGCCTCTACATAACAGGATGGGAAGGGCACGGAGCACCCAGCCTGCCTCCCCGTGAGGGCCTCCCGGGGTCAGCAGGTCCTCCCCGCGCCAGCGTTACCCTCTCCCCCAGCTTCCTTCTCGGTCAGCATCACGGTCCTGATGCCAGGCCCTCCCCGTGGAAGTGGCAGCCGGGGGTCTCCCCTGCCCACCTGGCCAGGAAGCGAGGCCCCCCGAGAGCAGCAGAGTCAGTGCTCAGTCCGGTCCCGCTGGGTCTGGGGTGGGAGGACGTGGACCTGAGCTGAGGGAGCCCAAAGCCAAATGCAAGCCCCTCCCCAGCTCTCAGTCCACAGGCTCCCCTTTCAAAATCAGCTCTGACGCGCTCCAGTTCAGGTTTCGCCTGAGAACCCAGGACAAGAAAACCCGCTCCATTCTGAGTGGAAACAGCTGTCAGCATCCGCAGAATGGGTGCACTGCTGCCTGTCCTTCTGTCCTTCCGTCCTTCCGTCTTCCCTGCCACATCCTGACAAAGTCTGTGGAGGGGCAGGACAGGTGAGACCCGGCCTGGGCCGGCCTTGCGGAGGATGGTGATCAGGAACTGTGTGTTGAATGCTGGTGTGTATCGGTATCCCCAGGTCCCCGTTCCCAGGGTAGCTGAGCCCCAGTATTTGCTTGTTGAGTGAATAAGTGATTAAAATTGCGAGAAGAGGATGGGCCTGTGTTTAATTCAATGCAGAGGGAGAGCTGGGAGCCAGAAGGCCTGAGTCCCAGTCCACTTACTGGCTGTGTCCTGACAATGGAGAGGCATCTCTCAGTTGTAAGAACAAAAGAGCAATGCCTATGGAAGACCTTTGCAAACGCTGGCAAAGAGGCAAGGCAGATGAGGATCCTGTTCTCCAGATGAGCACTTACTGTGTTCCAGACACTTGGTTATTTTTTTATCCTTACAGCCACTGTTTGAAGTATTATTTGCATCTCATTGTACAGATAAGGCTCAGAGCGGTCAAGTAATTTGCTCGAGGTCACACAGCCAATAAAAGGAAGTGTCAGATTGGAACCCAGATCTCCTCTGACTCTAAAGCCCCATGTCTTTCTGTAAAACCCTGAGGCGTTTCACTTAAAGGAACAATTACTGTGACTTCCGTGTGTTTGCACATAGAGACTCCTCATCTATTGGAGATGCTATCCTGCCTTTGAGGCTGCACCAACCTCACCCCCTTCCCCTCCCCTCCCTCCCCCTGGGCAGTAGTCCTGGCCAGGAGAGGGCCAGCTGCCGCCCGCGTTGCTTCAGTGGTTTGCCCAGATGGGGGAGTAAAGGACATGTCCTGCTTGTGTCTCCAGAAAACAGGTTTTTTATTACTTTCCACGGTGGGCTGTACATCTCCGACGTGCAGAAGGAGGACGCCCTCTCCACCTACCGCTGCATCACCAAGCACAAGTACAGCGGGGAGACCCGGCAGAGCAACGGGGCCCGCCTCTCTGTGACAGGTAGGCCGGGGGTGGGGGGAGAGGAGGGAGGGCACCCCAGTCCAGCCCTGGGCCTGGGCATGTCCACACTATGGACCAGAGAGCCTCAGAGAAGGTTAAAGGACTGGTATGGAACCACTGGGGCAAACCTTGCCCAGTTTGTTTTGGGGTGCCCTTCATATGAGGACACAAAAAAGGAATTATTTAGAGGCATCTATACCTGAGGGATGCCCACTCTCCTGAGGAACTTTGAGCGTTACGGAAACAT